CCCAAATTGATCTTCATATTCAATTTATTCTTTACCAAGAATATGGTATGTTTTTAAAATTTTTTAACCTTTTTTTAGAACTTGAAAAGTGAACCATAACAATTATATAAAAATGCAAAGCACCTACTATGGCTGAAACAAATTTTAAAAGAACAATTATGGAAGACTTACAATGCCCAATTTCAAACCTCACTATAGCTACATAATTATGATAGTGTGGTATTGGCATAATGATAAACATATAAAACACAATAGAAAGTCTGGAGAAAAACCTTTACATCTGTGATCCATTGATTTTTTTGACAAAGATGCCAAGACAGTATAATAAGAAAAGAATCCTTTCAACAAATGGTATTAAAAAAATTAGTCTCAGCTGGAACAGGACAGTGCCAAAAGTGAATAATGAACTTGGAAGCTTACCTCCCACTGTACACAAAAATTATGTAAAAACAGGCATTAGAAATAAATGTAAGAACTAAAATACAGCTCAGACTGTGTGACTTATATAGGAAAAAGGGTTTAATGGACTTACAGTTCCAAAAGCCTAGGGAGCCCTCACAATCATGGGGGAAGGCAAGGAGAAGCAAATCACTTCTTATGTGGATGACAGCAGGCAAAGAGAGCTTGTGCAGGAAAACATTTTTAAAACGATCAACTCTTATGAGACTCATTCACTATCACAAGAACAGTGTAGGAAAGACCTGCCCCCATAATTCAATCACCTCCCACTGGGTTCCTCCCATAGCATCTGGGAATTGTGGTAGTTACAATTCAAGATGAAATTTGGGTAGGAACACAGCCAAATCATATTAATAAGAAAACAAAAGAAATGGTATTTCTCATTTAGGATTAGGAAAAATATTTCCTAGATATGACACCAAAAATGTGAAAGAAAATATTAACAGATTTGAACTTCATCAAACTTTTAAAAACAAGTTTTTCAAAAGACAACATTAAAAAATAAAAAAAAAACAAGCTGTATACAGGGATGAAATACTTATATTTAGATATTTGATAAAGGACTTGTATCAAGGATATATAAAGAACTCTTATGACTCAATCCAATAAAACATGAACAAAAAATTTCAACAGTCACATCACCAAAGAAGATAAATGCATAGTTCATAATACCATGAAAAGATGTTCACCAACATTAGTTGTTAAAGAACTGCAAATTAATGTCCCTGAAATATATCACTACACATTTATCAGAAGGGTATAATAAAAAAGACTGGGAGAAAAATAATTGTTGATAAGGATGCAGAGAAAACGGAATCCTCATACTTTGCTGGTAGAAATATAAATTAATAAAGCTATTTTAGAAAAATCTCATCAGATTATTCAAAATTAAACTTGTACTTAACATACAATCAGTCATTCCACTCTTAGATGTCTACCAAAGAGAAATGAAAACATAGCCTGGCAAAAGTCTGTCAGTGAATGCTCATAGCAACATCATTCTTAATAGCAAAAAGCTGAAAGTTCTCCACATGTGCATCTACTACTGAATGAATAAGCAAAATGGGTATAAGCATTTAATTGAACACTATTTAGCAATTAAAGAGGAGCTAAACATGAAACAATATGGATCAATCCCAGAAACATTATGCTACATCAAAAAGCCACACACAAGAGTACACATTTTATAACTCAATTTACATGACATTTCTAGGAAAGAAAAATCCACAGAGCATAAAGTATATTAGCGGTTGCCTGCTAAGAGGAAATATTGGCCTGTCATCCCAGCACTTTGGGAGGCCTAGGAGGGCAGATCACCTGAGGTTGGGAGTTGAAGACCAGCCTGACCAACATAGAGAAACCCCATCTCTACTAAAAGTACAAAATTAGCCAGGTGTGGTGGCACATGCCTGTAATCCCACCTACTCAGGAGGCTGAGGCAGGAGAATCTCTTGAACCTGGGAAGCAGAGGTTGCAGTGAGTCGAGATGGTGCCAGCCTGGGCAACAAGAGGGAAATGCCCATTCTCAAAAAAAAAAAAAGCGAAGATTAACTGCAAACAGCCACAGGAAGCTTTTGTGAGTGATGGAAATGTTCTAAACCTGGATTGTGGTTATGGATAAACAAATCTATAATTACTAAATATCATTAAACTATAGAATTACAGTTGAACTTTGTTATTTAAACTATAACTTCATAAAGCTGTTAAGAAAAAAATTGCAGAATCAGAGGATTCACAAGCCTATGTAAATGCATAAAACAGGTAGATGAACTTTAATGTGAGCCAAAGGAAGGAAATGTATTTAATAAAAAATAGAATTTGACATATTTGCTAGAATATAGGGGAAAGATTTAGACATCGTTGTAATGCAGATATCATTGTAGGCTTCATCCTAAATCTGTCAGCCCAAACTATGGAATAAAACATTAGAGAAAAATTAAATGTTGTAATAATAGGCAATGCTGAGTAGGCTACGATGAAGTGATTCCTTCTTCTATTAGATATAAATATCTTTTACTTAGGTATTAAGATTATTCTTCATGATTATCCTCTTGAGCCCAAAAGCAAAGGCTTATGTCCCAGTGGGAAGGGATTAAGGGCCTCCTTCTTTGAAAAGATAGATATTTGCAGTGCCCATTCTTATGATATAGGTGAAACCCCAAACGTGAAATCAGAATGTGGAGGCTAATTTTTAGGAGAGAGAAAATTTTTTAATTATTTCTGGGCTTTGACTTTGGGAGGGCTTTTGTGAGGATGGATATTTGAGTAATAGGGGCACATAGGACTTGAATGGGAATTACAGAAGGCTATTGTCACAATGTGGTAATATTAAAAATGAAAATGACTTCAACCTGAGATAATGACAATCAAAAACAAATTTTAAAAGTATTAACCATTAAAAACTATGACATAATGTATTGAGCTCCATTAAGCATCAGCTTTCCTGGGATATTACACAAGTTTAAAATCACAAAAATATGTATTTATAAAGCTTTCAGATTAATATGTAGGTGAGAGGAAAGTAGGAGTATTTATGGTGTCTTCAAACATCAAGTGCTCCCTAAATTCTTGCTAAAGTGAGGCAGTCTTGATTGTGATAGGACTGTGTGTCATTTTACTAACACTTGCTCGCAGTTTGTTCCCCAATCTCTGCCTAGCTCAGTGCTTGACACATATTAGATAACCAATCAGTAGTGGGTGAGTGAAAAAATGCCTTACAGTTTTCAAGGTTTGGGTTTTTTTTTTTTTTATTTGGGGTTTTTGCTTGTTTTGCTGGGCAATTCAACTTTTATTCATGAAATTATTTAATATTCAACCTTTATTTGAAAACACAGATCTATAAATTTCTCCTTTGTGTCACTTCTGGAAGGGACTACTAATAGTTCATTAAGATAACTGAGTTAGGCATTTCTTGCAATGTTATGACTGGCCCCACAAAACATATCCCCCTCCTTAATACCTCTTTTATTATCCTGTTCCCTCTCATCTTCCTAAATGTTCTGCATGTACATCTTTATTTCTACGTAGGTGGAGTTAATTATCTTTCTATTGTGATGTCCCTGTCACCTTAGATGTTTATTTTTATATGCTCTGTCATGATGTCTTCATGTTTTTCTTGTAACAACATCGATTCCATTTGAAAATACAGGCTGGGCGCCATGGCTCACGCCTGTAATCCCAGCACTTTGGGAGACCGAGATGGGTGGATGTGGATCACGGGGTCAGGAGTTTAAGATGAGGCTGGCCAATATAGTGAAACCCTTACTCTACCAAAAATACAAGAATTAACTGGTTGTGGTGTCCCATGCCTATAACACCAACTACTCAGAGGCTGAGGCGGAAGAAGCACTTGAACCGGAGAAGTGGAGGTTGCAGTGTGCCGGGATCATGCCACTGCACTCCAGTCTGAGCAACAGGGCGAGACCCCATCTCAAAGAAACAAACAAACAAACAAAATAGAAAGGAAAATACATTATACAATGTAAAGCACTGACCATATGTAAAACATTAAAACTACAGAACTAAAATAAACACTTTGAAGATAATGAATCAGTTTAGATTGGTTTTAAAAGGATATGTCAACTTAATAAGCCATAAGAAAAATTAGTATAGATGAAACAGGAAATTATCTTGTAAAGGTAGCTCGTGGTTATAAATATAATTTGTGCTATAATTGGGATATTAAATTTACTTGGTAAGTTAGTGTATTTTGTTGAGCTTTATGTTTTGTTGTTTGAGAAACACAGCATAAAGTAAACTGTAGCATTAAAAGCCAGCCTCATTCCAATTTATTTTTATGGCATAGTGCAAAGCAACTCAAGCTTAAAGTACATTCAGGCACTGAGACTTAAATCCCTAATGGTAAGAAAGTCATTCCATAAACAGATGTGATCATGGGTTCTGAGTTTATTTGCTTGTGGCAAAACTAAAACTACCAACTCAATAAGTTTTAATTTATAGGCATCTACACCAGAAAGCCTTTGGGCACTTTGAACAAAACTGACTAAAAATAAAATTTAGTAAAATAAAATCTTATCTGCCCCATTCTCCATTTACACCAGGGAATGCAAATCCCGAAACGGATAGGGAGAGATTTCTCCATGTCTTCTCTCAGTGCTCTCGTAAATTATAGCTATGCTGTGTTCTAGGAGAGGATTTTATGATTGGCTATGTTGCTGACACTTGGGAATGGAAAGCAGGAGCTGGGGATGGTCATTCCACTTCAGAAGGTCGTCAGAGAACCATGACTCTAACCTGTGGTCATGAAAACATGCAGAGCTTTTCTGTTCTTGTCCACAGGGAATATCATGTGTCCCTTTCTCTAGCAGAAATCTCCCTTATGTATTTTTTTTTAAAAGAAACATAAAGGCTGTGCTGCTTTCTGATATGTAACTAAATAGCAGCAAATTCTTTGATCCTAACATTGCATATGAAATATACTGAAAATTCTTATTCATGTGAAATGCAAGTCACAGAACAAAGAGACAAGTGCATGGTCTTGACCTTGAAAACAAGGTGTTTTTGCTATAAAGAATGCTCACCTCACATTTTGTTCTTCTAGGGTCTCACTTGTGAATTCCAGGATGTCAGCTGCTGTCCCCACAAACATAAGAAGAAGTTGAGAGAGTTGATCTCGAGTGATCCCGCCACCAATGGGTAGAAGCCATTTTCCAATTATTAGCATTAACAGGAATGTCTGATGGAGTCCCAATGTCCAAACTTTCTCACATACTGTAGATAAATTATTCACAAAAACTTTGGCCTGTTTAACAGAAATGCCACACAGACAGAAGGATTATGAGCCACCACCTGAGAGAGAAGTATTTTCTTCACCATTGCTTTCAATCAGGAGTTTGCTTTTGTGGACAGTCATTTTCAGTAATTATTCTTTACTTACCAAAGAAAGTAAAAACGCCTTTCAGCTGAACATTCTGAAAAAAATCAAAAACTAATGTGGTCCTTAAGATGGGGGTGCCTATGACTAGCAAGTAATTTAAGCCTTAAACTTACTAGTGGGATTGTACCATATGGTATTTAAAGAACCAATTTTACAGTGTTTTAAAGATCATGTCTCATTTTATTATACTGTGTAGCAAAGAATAACACATAGCCAAGTTTTATAAAATGCACATTAATATCACAAAAGTTTCCTATATTTTTCTTTAATACATTTTTAAATCTCAATGTGCTAATCTTGAGATATTTGTAGCATTGTACAAATCTTCCCATTTTTTGCCTTAAAACCTTATTATATCTAAACATAAAAATGTAATAATGCTTATCAATTACCTAAACGTAAAGAAAGAGAACTATAAAATTATTATTTTTATTCTGAGTACTTAACAAGTTGTTCAATAATCCATAAGCTAGCAAGTAAATTTTACTCTGCCATTATTCTTAGACTCAGAGAGACTTACATGCCACTATATTCTGGGTGACAACTCTTACCTAATTACCTTTTAAATAAGTCTCAACATATACTATTGCCCCTACAAAGACTTAGGTCTTAAGTGGATAATGATTCCAACTTATTTATGCAAGTGACTTAACTATGCTTGTGCAATTCATTTACCTCTCTTCATCACTTGCTGATATCAAATGCACAAGGGAGGATAAAAGATGAGGCACGATACTATCCTGATTGAAACCATACATGAAAATCAATCATTTCCCATTTGTACACTTTCTTATATTACTACTATGAAACTTCACGTACAACATATTTAATTAATACAGGAAGCACATTAGTAGATAATAATAAATTTGATTGTCAGATAAAGAACTTAGAGAGAAACTAAGTGATTTGTCCAGAGTGATATAAATAGTGATTGGAGCATGAATTAGAACCCAAGGTTCATTCCATTAAACCTCACAGAACTAATAGTACATCTTATTATTGAAAGTATGTTTCAGTGATTGGGGCTTTTTTCTTTTTAAATGGGTCATGGTCAGTTTGCCAAATATCAGACTTATGAAGAAAAAGGAAGTAATTGTTTTGGCTAGAAATCTCCATTTTATTGATAAACATCTACAAAATACATATGGTAGAGTTCCTATCTAATTCAATAAGACAAGAAAACAAAATAAAAGGTATAGGGATTGGGACAGAAGAAATAAAACTGTCACTGTTCAGTTGACATAATTGTCTGGGTAGAAAATCCCAAGAAACAGACAAAAAAATAAACTCCTGGAACTAGTAAACATTTATAGCAAGGTTGTGGGATAAAAGGTTGATATACAAAAGTCAATCTGTTTCCTATATACTAGCGAAGAATAAATGAAATTTAAAACTAAAAACAAAATGCCATTTTTATTGGCATCCCCAAAAATGTCATGTAGCTTTATCAGTTTTAACAAATGCGCCACTCTGGTGCAGGGTTTTGATGGATGGGAGGCTGTGTGTGAGCACAGAATAAATGGGAAATATCTGTACCTTCCTCTCAATTTTTGCCATGAATCTAAAATTGCTCTTAAAACATTAAGTCTTAATATAATCATATCCTAATCTTTTAATAATCATTCCTTCACAAATGTATATGTCTCTCATTGTGCACACTTTATCCTCTTTAAGGGTTCCTTAATGATTCAGATTAAATATATCTATTAATATATATAAAACATATCAATGTATATACTTATGCATGTTAAATATGTTTAATAATTTTAAAATCTTATTATTTGTGAATTTCTGAGCCAAATAATTCATAACTTTTTTCAGAAAAGAATTAACTGGGAGAGGTGTATAGCATGTAATTGAGGATTATAGCAAGTCCACCATTTACTAGATCCTTAAATACACAGTGGAAAAAGCTCTCACCGTCTCAATAAGATCATCAGCTCCATTGGTTTTTTCACTGGATGTCAGTGTTTGATTAGAGGCTTCTTTTCTGCTGGTATTCTGTGATGTTCCTTCAGCCTGGAAACTGCAATACTAAGAATGGGGTAGGGGAAGCCAATTACAGCAGAAAATTAGTGCAATAAGATGGAGCTCAAAATGACTTCAATCTGTTCAAGAGATTATGAGCAGATATGCAGAGCTTATATACAATATGCATAAACATTTTCAAAAATTGAAATATAGCCTTGAGGTTGAAAACTACTTTTTAATCAATATGAAAGGAGCATCAACTATACAAGTCTTATTTTTCCATAGGTCGATGAGGATGTAAATATTCTGAGTCATTGCAGACAGCTGTAGAATTTATAGATTGGTAACTAAGATTCCTTTATTGAACCCTGCAAGAATTTAAAACCAAACAAATAACCAGTGACAACAATAAAACATATATGGTCCTGGTCAAGGGAACTACAGTGTTCTTTTTTCTTTTTCTACTTTTATTTTATGTTTTGGGGGTTCACGTGCAGGTTTGTTACATGGGTAAATTCCATGTTGTTGAGGCTTGGTGTATGAAGGAAGCCATCATCCAGGTAGTGAGCATAGTACATGATAAGTAGCCTTCCAATTCACATTTCCCTTCATCCCTACCCTCTCAAGTAGTCTCGGGTGTCTGTTGTTCCCAACTTTGTGTCCATGTGTATTCAATTTTTACCTCCCACTTATAAGTGAGAACATGTGATATTTGGTTTTCTGTTCCTGTGTTAGTTTGCTTAGAATACTAGTGACCAGCTGCATTTATGTTGCTGCAAAGGACATGATTTTGTTATTTTTATAGCTGTATAGTATTCCATAGCATGTGCCTATGTGTGTGTATGTGTGTACACAGTATTTTAAGAGTTTGTTTCATATCCAGAGACCTCTTTATTTAAAATATCATTTTCATAAGTAAACAAACCAAGCATTTTCAATTCTCCCTGTCAAGCACTGTAACAACCTAAAAAATTAGCATGTTCACCCACCAAAACATACATTTTAGTGACAGTTTAAAAGCCAATTTAGGTTTATGGAAAATTTAACAATAGACATAAAAAATGGCATTTTCGTGGATTCAAGATGGCACAGTAAGAACAACTCAGGATCACAGCTCTCAGTGAACGATCAGAGGGTGAGTCAAAGCCGCATTTCCATACAAATCTTTGTTGCCCACAGAATGGGGAAATTCCCAGGTGTAGAAGAGACATGGGATGCAAGCGCAGCAATTTTGGCTGTTGTGGCAGCTTCGGCCAGTGCTGCAGCACAGCGGCACTCCACAACACTCTGCACAAAACACACTGGTCCGGGTGCCCTGCTAAACCGGCAATCTGAGATGTGGGAGGGCAGATTAGCATATCCATCTGATTAAACGGGATTTGGACAGTGAGCCAGACCAGGAGATTCCTGAGAAGTGGCATTTGAGCCAGTGCAGATCCCGGTGCCCTGACAGCAGGTGACCGAAACACCTGGGAGAGAGCCATCTGTTCAACTTAAAAAAAAAAAGAAAGGAGCTCTGAGGCAGGGAGCCAGGTGAGCAGGTTTCACCACCACAGGGACAAACAAAACAGCAATTCGAAATGCTCTGGGTGGAGAGTTTCACTGCGGGCACAGCTGAACCCAGGATGGTGCAGCTTGGTGGGGGAGGGGTGTCCACCATTACAGAGGCAATCCACCCCTACTGAGGTACACTCCCATTGCTGATGCAGCCTGCCATTGCCGAGGCAACCCACCATAACAGAGAGACTCTGCCACAGGGCGGAGCCCGTGGCAGCAGGGCAGAGCCCGCCACAGAGCCCACAGCTACAGGGCAGAGCCCACAGCAACAGAGTGGACCCCACATCAGCAGGGCGGAGCCTCGGCAGGCAAATAGTGATTAGACTGCCTCCTAGCTGGGCAGGACAGTGCAACGGACACTCATAAAGAAAACCCCAACTCCCCGAGAGAGAGCATCTGAGGAAAAAGAAAGGTTTTATAAGTTCTGCTGCAGCAGACTTAAATGTACCTGCATAACAGCCCTGAATGAACAACAGAGCTCACAGCTCAGCACTTGAGCTCCTATAAAGTACAGACCATCTCCTCAAGCAGCTCCCTGACCCCTGTATATCCAGAGTCACCTCAAAAAGGACTGATCAGACTGACATTAGGCGGGCATCATTCTGGGACAAAGACAGAAGAAGAAGAAACTGGTAGCATCCGTCACTGTTCTGCAGCTGCTACAGGTGTACCCCAGAGAAGCAGGGCCTGGAGTGGACCTCGGCAGTCATACAGTGGAGAGGCTAGACTGGTAGAAGGAAAACCAAGTAACAGAAGTACCTCATCATAAACAATCCAGGTGTCCACTCAGAGACCCAATCGAAAAGTCAGCAACTACTCAGACAACAGGTGGATAAATCCACAAAGATGGGAAGAAACCAGTGCAAAAAGGAGGAAAACACCCGAAACCTGAACACCTCACCTCCTACAAAGGACCAAAACCCCTCACCAGCAAGGGAACAAAGCTGGATGGAGAGTGACCGTGACGAAATCATGGAATCAGACTTCAGAAAGTGGGTAATGAGAAACTTCTGTGAGCTAAAAGAACATGTTCTAAATCAATGCAAAGAAACTAAGAACCTTGAAAAAAGATTCGAGGAAATGATAACAAGAATGGATAACTTAGAGAGGAATATGAATGAATTGAAAGAGCTGAAAAACATGACAAGAGAACGTCACAAAGCATGCACAAGTTTCAACAGCTGAATTGACCAAGCAGAAGAAAGAATATCAGAAGTCGAAGATCAACTCAGTGAAATAAAACAACTGGCTCTTGAATGTTGACTGGAAAACAATGAAATAAAGGCAGAAATAAAGAAGTTCTTCAAAACCAACGAGAATGGAGACACAACATACCAGAATCTCTGGGACACATTTAAAGCAGTCTCCAGAGGAAAATATATAGCAATAAGTGCCCATATGAGATGAGTGGAGAGATCCAAAATTGGCACCCTATCATCAAAATTGAAAGACCTAGAGGAGCAAGATCAAAAAAACTCAAAACCTAGCAGAAGACAAGAAATAACTAAGATCAGAGCAGAACTGTAGGAGATAGAGGCACGAAAAACCCTTCAGAAAATCAATAAATCCAAGAGCTGGTTTTCTGAAAAGATCACCAAAATAGACAGACCACTAGCCAGACTGATAAAAAAGAAAAGAGAGAACAACCAAATAGATGCAATAAAAAATGATAAAGGGGAAATCACCACAGATTCCACAGAATTTCAAATCATCATCAGAGAATATTACAAACAACTCTATGCACATAAACTAGTAAACCTGGAAGAAATGGATAAATTCCTGGACACCTGTGTCCTCCCAAGCCTAAACCAGGAGGAAGCCAAAACTATGAATAGACCAATAACAAGGTCTGAAGTCGAGGCAGCAATTAAGAGCCTACCACACAAAAAAAAGCCCAGGTCCAGATGGGTTCACAGCCGAATTCTACCAGACACACAAAGAGGAGCTGGTACCATTCCTTCTGAAACTATTCCAAATAATCCAAAAAGAGGGAATCCTTTCCAAATCATTTTATGAGACCAACATCATACTGTTACCAAAACCCGGCAGAGACCCAACAAGAAAAGAAAACTTCAGGCCAATATCCATGATGAACATAGATGCAAAAATCTTCAATAAAATACTGGCAAGCCGATTGCAACAGCAAATCAAAAAACTTATCCATCATGATCAAGTAGGATTCATCCCGGGGATGCAAGGCTGGTTCAACATACGCAAGTCTATAAACGTAATTCACCACATAAACAGAACCAAAAACAAAAACCACATGATTATCTCAATTGACACAGAGAAGGCATTCGACAAAATTCAACAGCCCTTTATGCTAAAAACCTTCAATAAACTTGGTATCGGTGGAACATATCTGAAAGTAATAAAAGCTATTTATGACAAACCAACAGCCAATATCATACTGAATGGGCAAAAACTGGAAGCATTTTCTTTGAAATCCAGCACTAGACAAGGATGCCCTCTTTCACCACTCCTATTCAATATAGTACTGGAAATTCTAGCCAGAGCAATCAGGCAAGAAAAAGAAATAAAGGGTATTCAAATAGGAAAGGTGGAAGCCAAATTGTCTCTATTTGCAGACGACATGATAGTATACCTAGAAGACCCCATCACCTCAGCCCAAAAACTCCTGAAACTGATAAGCAACTTCAGCAAAGTCTCAGGATATAAAATGAATGTGCAAAAATTACAAGCATTCCTCTACACCAATAACAGACTTAAAGACAGCCAAATCAATTGCTGCAAAAAGAATAAAATACCTTGGAATACAACTCACAAGGAAGATAAGGTACCTCTTCAAGGAAAACTACAAACCACTGCTCAACGAAATAAGAGAGGACATAAACAGATGGAGAAACATTCCATGTTCATGGTTAGGAAGAATCAATATTGTGAAAATGACTATACTGCCCAAAGTAATTTACAGAATCAATGCTATCCCCATCAAGCTACCATTGACTTCTTCACAGAACTGGAAAAAACCACCATGAACTTCATATGGAACCAAAAGAGAGCCCGCATAGCCAAGTCAATTCTCAGGAAAAAGAACACAGCGGGGGGCATCACACTACCGGATTTCAAACTATACTACAAGGCTACAGTAATCAAAACAGCATGGTACTGGTACCAAAACAGATGGAACAGAACAGAGACATCGGAGGCAACACAACATATCTACAACCATACAATCTTTGATAAAACTGACAAAAACAAGCAATGGGGGAAGGATTCCCTGTTTAATAAATGGTGTTGGGAAAACTGGCTAGCCATGTGTAGAAAGCAGAAACTGGACCCCTTCCTGACACCTTACACTAAAATTAACTCCAAATGGATTAAAGACTTAAACATAAGACCTGGCACCATAAAAACCCTAGAAGCAAATCTAGGCAAAACCATTCAGGACATAGGAGTAGGCAAGGACTTCATGACCAAAACACCAAAAGCATTGGCAACAAAAGCCAAAATAGACAAATGGGACCTAATGAAACTCCACAGTTTCTGCACGGCAAAAGAAACAGTCACTAGAGTGAATTGGCAACCAACAGAATGGGAAAAAATTTTTGCAGTCTACACATCTGACAAAGGGCTGATATCCAGAATTTACAAAGAACTCAAACAGATTTACAGGGAAAAAATAAACAAGCCCATTCAAAAATGGGCAAAGGATATGAACAGACACTTTACAAAAGAAGACATACATGAGGCCAACAAACATATGAAAAAATGCTCATCGTCACTGGTCATTAGAGAGATGCAAATCAAAACCACATTGAGATACCATCTTACGCCAGTTAGTATGGCAATCATTAAAAAATCTGGAGACAGCAGATGCTGGAGAGGATGTGGAGAAATAGGAACACTTTTACACTGTTGGTGGGAGTGTAAATTAGTTCAACCATTGTGAAAGTCTGTGTGGTGATTCCTGAAGGCCTTAGAAATAGAAATTCCAATTGACCCAGCAATCCCATTATTGGGTATATATCCAAAGGACTATAAATTGTTCTACTATAAGGACACATGCACACAAATGTTCATTGCAGCACTGCTTACAATAGCAAAGACCTGCAACCAACCCAAATGCCCATCGATGATAGACGGGATTGGGAAAATGTGGCACATATACACCATGGAATATTATGCAGCAATCAAAAATGATGAGTTCGTGTCATTTGTAGGGACATGGATGAATCTGGAGAACATCATTCTCAGCAAACTGACACAAGAACAGAAAATGAAATACTGCATATTCTCACTCATAGGTGGGTGATGAAAAAGGGAACACATGGACACAGGGAAGGGAGTAGGAAACACTGGGGTGTATTGGTGGGAAGAGGGGAGGGACCGTGGGGTGGGGGAAGCTGGGGAGGGGTAGCCTGGGGAGAAATGCCAAATGCGGGTGAAAGGGAGGAAGGCAGTAAAACAAACTGCCATGTGTGTACCTATGCAAATGTCTTGCATGTTCTGCACATGTACCCCAAAACCTAAAATGCAATAAAAAAATGGCATTTTCCTTTCTTGTTTCTTCCGTTTGTATGAGAATTTCTGCAAGTGAATTGCACATGATATTTATCTACCAGATGCTGGGAATCTAACGTAAAGTAAGAGAAGGAAAAATTATATAAGAGAAGAAAGGTGTGGCACTTGAAAATGGAAATGTACCTAATACATATTTTACAAACTGGCTTTTAAAAAAATGTTGAAAGTCTTTCAAACATCTGCAGAGCTAACATATTTTTGAAACAACACACACGCACCATCACCACCACTACAACCACCACACATCCATGATCACATATTTGTAAACAGTAATTTGTAAATCACAAATTTGTAAATAGAGGACTTATTTAAAAAATTAAAGCTGTAAGAAGTGTGATTTTCTTAATTATTCTGGATACAACATTGACTACTCTGTAAGTTACTTGAAAAAGCAGAAAAGAAAGTCTGCAAGAAGCTACTTTTTCTACCTTCTATCCAAACAACTAGTATTATGGTTGAAATGACAAGAGTAATTAAGAAAAATGGCCATATGCCATATCTCTAGGAGCAAAAATACAGTTGTTCGCACACTTTGTGTGTGTGTGTGTATATGTGTGCAGCTAAGGCTCCAAAAAAAAGATAATGAAGATCAAAATTAAATCTTGAACCAAACAACAAATTTTCATTGCAAAGCATTTTGGTGTCTATTTAAGATTTATTTCAATAGGAAACACATTTTGATCACTTTGTAGGCATGAAAACAGACTCTGTATTAAAAATGGTAACCTTAATATGTTTTTGACATTCTAATCACTAAAAATGCATAAACATCTTGTCATTTAGGAAAAAAGGCTATGCTTTAGTGCAATAGAAGATAACTTGGGAGCAAATAGCTTTGTAGTTACGTATTACGGTATTAAGACTCATCTGAGTTGCTCCCCGCTCTTGTTATCCTATTTGTTATAGATTGATGAGATTGTCCTCTAAGTGGCCTCTGCACTGGGACTGCAATGAACTAGTGACTTGACTCTTAAAACCTGATCTGTATTGTTTTGGGGGTTATTTTGTTTACATTCTGCCTTGGATAGGTGAGTTCACGTAGATTATCTGGGTACCAACATGCCTTTTTCTTTTAATAGGCTATGTCTATTAAACTCTTATTAGCTTCAAAAATATTCCATTGGGTCAAACAAGACTCTGAACGAAACAAGACCAGAATGTTTCCACTACTTTAATTATGCTACTTCATAAATAGACCTAAAAGCTAAGGTCACAATCATTGTCATAAACGTTTTGTTCCCATACATGTAGACCCAACCAGATTCAGGAATGAAGCTAAGAAATTAGTCATCTAGGAGAAATATCTCATGAAATAGGTCAGGATGTTTTCCTAGTGCCAAATCATAAGTTGGAACATTTAGGATATAGAGTAAATGGAATGTGTGAAAGAAAATTAAATACTCTTTCTTACAATGAACAACTCAGATAATTCTGATGCGAACTCCTCTAAAACACAGAACACATAGCTGAGAAGGGCAATATGGTTTAATGGACTAGATATTCACTAGGTTCTAAGCCCCAGCATTACTGTTTATTCACTGTATCAACTTAGGGAAATTACTTAACCTTTCTGAGTCTTAGAATCCTCTTCCTTAAAATAGAAACGTATGTATAATGTCTAACTTATGGAGTTGTTGGGTCCACATATGTGAAAAAGTTTGTGAAAGTACAGCAGACTATCTGAAGAAAAGCGATTATTATCACTCCCAAAATGTTCTAAATGAGTAGACTACAAGAATTACTATAAACTTGCTTTATTCTGCCATTTCTTCTTTCTTTAACTGCAATTCCAATACTTTTTTTGTCTTTCTTTCTATTTTTCTACTTTCATTTCATTTCGTTTTTCTGCTCAGTCTGCCCAATTCAATCTCTGGGCATCCATTTTAATTCTCAGTGTCAAAATGAGTCAAATCCATTACTATTAAAGGGTCAATTTCCTTTGTAGTATGAAAATTAGAGAGCTACTGCCCAGAGCTCAAAAATCTGTTTTTATTAAAAGGGGAGCTTTTGGTTGCATGTTATTTGTTGTAATGGGATTTGACCTGTATATCAATTAATTGTGCAACAAATTTATATTACAAAAGCATTTTGGGGAAATGAATGTTTATTGTGTATGATAACCATGTCATAGAATTGAATGTGAAAGAAAGAATTGATTTAAATCACCAGAGCTTATTTTTATACCCTTGAAAGTAGTAAGTAGTAAAGAGATTGAAACAGTCTCCTAATTCCTTACAGTACAGTTTTAAAAAGCCACGATAACTTGAACCAACCATATACAGTTACAAAAACATTTTTCCTACAGACGTAGAGATAGCCTATGACTTTAGTGGTTTTTAGCAGGAGATTTAAGGGAAAAAATGTCTTCTTCATGCCTATATTGTTGGTATTTGCTTGTGGAATTCTTCAAAAATAGTCCACAGAACTAAATTACCCTCTGTGTGCCTATAATTTGGAGCAAGGCTTTTACAGATAAGGTTATACATTGGTGGCAGATAGAGTTACATATGGGAGGCTTAACCTTACTATAAAATGTCCAACTATAGCAAAGAAATCTATGTAAGTCCAAATTCTCACAGATCTTTTCTAAAGTATTTTGTCAGTGAAGGTACCAAAAGATGATTATGTCATAACTACATTTCACTGTAACGCAGTCCTGTAACCTGAACTACGAAGTCAAAGCTGGAATCTGATGGACGTTACTAACTTGGCCTCTTCAGAGTTTTATAGGAACATCAACAGCAGTAAATGACTGCACCCAACCTGGTCACTGCTTACTAGAGTTGTCTGTGTAGAAAATAGCTGTATTAAAAATCTCTGTAATAAATTACGGACTCTTATTCAAAGCTACTGTTTTATTTCTAGGTCAGTGTGATCTTCTAATACATATAGGCCCACCTTCCACATAGTGGGTCTCATGACTCTTCTCCTTTACTCTTAGTTTCAGGGTTCTAGAATAGAATTTCTATTTCACTAAGGCAGCCCATGGGACTCCCAAAAATTAATTTCCTGTAATTTGCAGAGTCTGCATTTTAAAACATACTATTTTAAATAGCTCCTACAAGTTTGACTGTATTTATATAGCTGAGTACAGATAAGGGTTTTGTTTTTGTTTTTGAAATTCCTAAAAATGTCACTTTACAGGATGCCAGATTGAGGCGTGCCCATTCTTAGCACAACATAAAACCTCACTGAAGCTGGAAGGGTTAAAATCAAATTTCCATACCCCCCATGTAAACTCCAGGGGAAGCCTTAGTAAAGGATCTCTAACACAAAATGTTAATTATATAATCCTAAATCTTTTTTTGGGGGGGCGGGGATGGAGTCTTGCTCTGTCACTTAGGCTGGAGTGTAGTGGCACAATCTCAGCTGACTGTAACCTCCGCTTCCTGGGTTCAAGAAATTCTCCTGTCTCAGCCACCCAAGTAGCTGGGATTTCAGGCGCCCGGTACCATGTCCAGCTAATTTTTGTATTTTTGGTAGAGATGGGATTTCACCATGTTGTCCAGACTGGTCTGGAACACCTACCTCATGTGATCTGCCTGCCTTGGCCTCCCAAAGTTCTGCGATTACAGGCATCAGCCACCGTGCCCAGCCATAATCCTAAATCTTACATAAATGTAGTATTTTTATTGGGGCTTTTTTTGGAAAAACATGGATTCGCTTTCTTTTGCTGATTGCCTCTTATTTATTCAATTCTTGATAACTCCAGTTACTTAGAAAAGTACACTCCTGAAATAAATTGGATCATACTGTGAAAGTAGCTTATTGCTGAATTTTCAATTCCTACTTTCCAAAAAGAAGTACCTGGGTCTCATGGTGCAGTTCCAGAAGCCATAATGATGGAACGATGCTAATCAGATATAAAAATATGGCTGGTGAAAACCTGTGAAAAGAGAGAAGAAAAAAATAGTTTAGCTATTTTAAGCTAACTTTCAAAAACAAAAATTTAAGAGGAAGAAAGAAAAATGCACATACTCTGACTACACTGAGTCAAATCTTTTTTATCTCAAGTATTTATTTCAAGGAAGAAAAAAGCATTATGTGATTTCTGCCATATGGATTATAAAGAAACAAAGTAACTGTAAAAGGCACTAGCAGCTGTCATTCTCACTGAATTTCTAATCCAATTAATAGACACTAATTTCGATATGGTTTAATGGGACACAGCCAATTAGTTTCAGGCACAACACTGGATATTTTGTATTTAATATGTTTTACAAAAAGCAAATACAGCAGTAGTAAATCTTGGATTCATTAGACATTACAATTTCAAGATTTGGCTACATTTTTCAACATTAACCTGGAACTCTGAGAGCTCAACAGTAACATGGTGCTAGAACACAAAACTCAGATGATAAGGACTAGGAATGAGAGTAATCCATTGGCTTTGTGTGTGGTTTGCTAACCTATAAAACAAAAACACAACCAACCAACAGTGTAAGCCTTCGGTATTTTTTTTTTTTTTAGGTTATGTGTATTCATAATTTTCTGATTCAAAATTCAGAGAGGAATCTGAAGAGTGGACTTTAGTGATCCAACACACTCAGGTTCAAATGCCAGTTTTGCCATCGACCTCTCAGTTTGTTTCCTAATCCACAAAATGGGGACTGTCACTGTACCAGCCAACTCAGGCTGTGGTACAAAATACCATAGACTATGTGGCTTAAACTGTAGGAGATGGGTCAGAGTGGCGGGAGAAACCAAAGGGAAAGGAGCAGGGCTTCTGAAAGGTCACAAGGCTCTGTAATGCTTCTGGGAGTAGCTGAAGGCAGCTGTTCTCTTATCCTGAGGAGTAGGTACAAGGGAGTGTAGGGCAATTTATCTTAAACAGCTTATTTTCTTATGTTGTCCAGGAACTGGCCTTTGGTCATCCTCACACCTGACTTCCCACTGACAGGGGGAACATTAATGTTAATTACCCGCAGACTGTGTTTGCTCCAGGCTTTCAGCATTACGTCTGTACTGAATAAAACCAAGCAGCTCCAGATCTTCCAGGCTGCTGTCTCTCTGGCCACCAGAGCCAGGTAGACCCCCTCACTGCTCTTACACTGCATACCTGTGCCTGAGTACTCTTCATACATTGTTTGGCCAGGGTCTGTGGGACGGACCCAGCATTAAACTACAGACATTGATTTTCTCATAGCTCTGGAGGCTGGAAGCCTGAGATTAAGGTACCAAAAGACTAGGATTCTGGTGAGGGCTCCCGACAGTATCTTCTCCATGTGTTCTTAGATATCTGTCTCTTCCTCTTCTTATAAAGCCTCTAGTTTTATTGGATTAGGACCCTACCTTTATAACCTCATTTAACCTTAATGATCAAATTAATCTCCAAATATTGTCACATTTGGGGTTGGGACTTCAATCTAGAAATCTGGAAAAGGATACAATTTAGCAGACACATTTATCTCCCAGGGTTTTTTATTTTACTTCCTATAAAGCAGTGACTGGCAGTGCTTGGCATTCAATGATAAGTAGTTAATCCTAGTATTATTATGGGACAAGGTACAACATAAATGTGTGCTTAAAATTTTGAAATAAGAAAAATAATATACTTTCCAAATTTATTTCTTCAAATTGGGCTTGTCACAGTGGCTCAGACCTGAAATCCCAGCACTTTGGGAGGTTGAGGTGGGTGGATCACTTGAGGTCAGAAGTTCGAGACCAGCCTTAGCAACATGGTGAAACCGTGTCTCTACTAAAATTACAAAAAATTAACAAGGCGTGGTGGTACAGGCTGTAATCCCACCTATTCAGGTGGCTGAGGCAGGAGAATTCCTTGAACCCAGGAAGCAGAGGTTGCAGTGAGCTGAGATCAGCTACTGCACTCCAGCTTGGGCAACAGAGCGAGACTCAGTCTCAAGAAAAAAAGATAAACAAACAAACAAAAAAAAACAAATTGAACTTTATTTTAGAGGACTCTTTCATTACAGAACATCTCAAAGTCAAAATTTTGTCAATATAATTTTATTTAAATGCTTTTAATACACAGCAATAGTTTGAAATGACCTAGAAAATAGACATGTTAATTGCTCAACAAATAGAATTATTTGAGATGAAATGTTACCCAAACTATGTCATTATAATTCAGGAGAGAAAGGTGAAATGAAAAGAGAAAATTTAGAATGATTTTTTTAAAGCTATTAATCCTTTCACTAATATCATTTTTTTTTCAATTTGTAGAGAGAGAAAAAGGGCAAGAGAAAGAGAGATCTTTTTAAAAAATCAATATTTAATATAGATAGTTCTCCATTTTTGGTTTCCTACAAAAAACAATTTTGAAACAAAAGGTTATGGGTCATGATATTATTAAAATCTGGAGAATAGTAAAACTGTAGAGAGATATCAAAAGCCCATGTTCAGCATGCTCTTAAAAAAAAAAGAACAATTAACTTTTTGACTTCACATATCAAAGGAAACATCAGGAGATAATATTTCCCTTGTGAAATCGGGAAAGAAAGTAAATTCTAGTCAGAGGGACAGTTGAAATATGCAAATTTTTGTTTGGACACATCAAATGTTGGCTGGATTGCAATTTTGTTGAGTCTCTTGGGATTTATTTTTAGATTAACAGCACCCCCCTCACAACAATAGTGTAACAATAATCTAGGGAAAACCATAGCCTGAACACGTAATAGCTCTTGAAAGAGGTTAAAAATATAACAATACCCTTAACATCTTCTATGCGTACGATTTATTTCTATAATTGGAAAAAAGTACTATCCTGTTTCAACATACTTCCTCTAAATGGGAAACTGGCTATATAAACAAACTTCAAGATTCAAGATGTTTTGTGTTGCCTACAGTAGAAATCTACACTCCAAAATCTGATATCCTATGTCTTCCTTATCTGGTCTTATCTCCTCTTTCCCTTCCTATTCCCTAATCGCATCCTATCTAGCTGAGCCACTCAGTAGTTACAACCTACTGTGTATTTTAAATAAGACAAACAAAATGTTTTGGAAAATTCCTCTCACTTCAATCCTCTTCATTAGATTATTTGACCTAATGAAGAAAGGGGGTAAGAAAAAGGAATCATATCAAGGGCCCAAGAATTAATTATATTCAACTCAATTCTTAGCCTTGTTCAACTAACCATGTGTCTCTGGTAAGAACCAAGTGCTCTCTGCTCTTTTAATTTGGTTAATCTGAGGGCAGAGGTGCTGCAAAGGTTTCACAGAAAATATCTCCCAAAATTATGAAAGTTTATTTTGGAATGTCCTTCTCTTACATGTCTATCCACCAATATTCTGCTTGTGTTTTACAGGCACAGCAGGAATTAATCTTAACCTGTATTTCTCTCCTGACCCAACATACGCTGTACTGTGTTATAGTTATGTGTACATAAGACTTTGCTTTCCTAATATAAGTTCCTAGAAGAAAGATCCTGGGTCTTATATATCTTTTTATCTCTTTCCTCTTCCCACTGGTTCATTTTCTCTTCTCTCCAGTGGAATCACAGTGTCTTACTAAGTCTTCAGTTAATGCTTATTAAGCAAATGCTTAAATACTTGAATGCCTAAATTTATGAAGGAAGGAAGGAAGGACTGAGCAAATAAAGTGAATAGAGACTACTGATATCTACAAGAATCTTTCATTTCAAGAGGTCTGGTATCAAGTAAGCTCTTTCAGCTGTGACCCTTGAATTATTACATGATAGTGTGAACCAGTATAAATTTCAGAAACTTAGAAGACCCAAATTTGAATCTTGCCTCTTCCACGCACTCATCTTTAGAAATTCTCAACCTTCTCTGAAACTTAATGTCCTCATCTGTAAAATGGGGAAAGTAATACCCATCTCATAGTGTGATTATGAGGATTAAATAAGAAAATGTACACCATGAGATTGACACCTTAGGTGCTCAGTAAATGTACTTGCTGTTTTCCCTAGACTCAGCTTTGAAAATTTACTCACGGCTACATGTTTGGTATCTATGCTTATGAAGGACTCTTAGAGGACACCAGTTTAGAAGATTGTTTCTTTGTATAATTTATAATCACTTCTATTTTTAAACCATGATTCTCAAAACTAAGCCTGTATAAGGCCACATACAGTGGCTCATGCCTGTAATCCCAGCACTTTGGGAGGCCAAAGTGGACAGACCATTTGAACTCAGGAGTTTGAGACCAGCGTGGCCAATATGGGGAACCCCTGTCTCTACTAAAAATACAAAAACTAGCTGGGTGTGGGGGTGCACGCCTGTAATTCCAGAAACTCAGGAGGTTGAGGCAGGAGAACTGCTTGAATCTGGGAGGTGGAGGTTGCAATGAGTTAAGATCACGTCACTGCACTCCAGCCTGGGCGACTGAGCAAGACTCTGTCTCGGAAAAAAAGAAAAAACAACAAAAGCTAAACCTAGATAAAACTCCTAAAATCAAAGGCCCTTTCTTTGTACTGTTGAATACAAACATTATTATGCCTAACTTCACAATCAATGTTGAGGCAACTATTATCACACTGCCATAGTTTGCATGGAGTATTTGCCCATCATGACCTACAAGATGCTGCCCACTCAGGGCCCTACCCCCGTCTTGTGCTCTGTTGCTTGCCATTCCTCCAACTGTGTCATATATCAGTGTTCTTCTTCCAGTCCTCAGGAAAAAAGAAGTGCTATCCTAACTGAAGCCCTCAACATGTATTTCTCTCTTTAGAAATACCCACCTTCTACTTTTAACCTGATTATTTCCTTATAGTTCATATCAGTTATATGGAACTTCACAAAACTTACCATGCTCCTCAAGTCTAAATTAGCCCTCCCTGGTCACTTTTATGCCATAGATTTTCAAAATATATAATTACATATGTGCATATGTATATGTGTGTGTATTTGATATCATTTAAGTGTTGACTCCAAGCAATCCTAAATAATGCAAGCGCCAAAGCTG